TCATTCCAAGGCAATTGACATTGAGATGTTTTCACATGCATTTCTAATCTCTATATACATGACTATCACTGGTCACAGTCGGCTGTCTATCTGACGAGTGAGTTTGTAATCATGCTCAGATGCCGAGGAGCTCAGAAGGTGGCCGACTGTGACCAGTGAAAGAGAGTCTTTTATTGCACATCTAGTTCCTTTTGGTTTGGGGTGTGGACTGAGGGTACTTCTGAATATAGTTAAATCATTTTATTTCAAGATTTATTTGTTTTTGGTTTTAAAAAATATTTATTATTGTTATTCTATATGTATGAATGTATTGCCTGCATGTACATAAGTGTACCCATTTCATGCAATGCCTGTGGAGGTCAGAGAAGGCATTGGCTCCCTTGGAACTGGAGTTATAGAAGGTTTTTAGTTGCCATGTGGATGCTGGGAATCAAACCCACATCCTCTGTAAGAATAGCCAGTGCTCTTAAATCCCTGAGCCATCTCTCCAGATTTTGTTTTGTTTGTTTCATGGTGGTAGGGATCAATCCCAAAACCTTGAACATGCTATATAGGCATTTTACCATTGACAATATCTTCAGCCCTTGTTTTTTGAGACAGGGTCTCACTCTGTAGTCTGCGCTGACATGGGGGCTTGCTATGTAGCGCAGGCTGGCCTCAAACTTGCAATCCTTCTATTTCAGCTTTCTAAGTGCAAGGATTATGAAGAATGTATTTTAAAGGCATTAATTTGTTTAAAATATTTTATGTATTATTTTTAATTTTTTATATGTATGAGTGTATTGCCTGCATATAGGTAAGTGCACCTGTTTCATGCACTGTCCTTGGAGGTAAAAAGAGAGTGTTGGATCTCCTGGAACTGGAGTTACAGATGGTTGTTAGCTGCCATGTGGGTGCTGGAAACAAACCTTGTTTCTCTGCAAGAGCAGCCAGTGCTCTTACTGCTGAGCCATCCCTTCAGCCCTGGGATTAATTTGTTTAAAGTGGAAGATAAAAATCTATAACAAAGAAGATTCCAGTGTTGGGTCAAGGACTTTGGGAAAGTAATGCACCTGTCAGTCTCAGCTTTGTCATAAAATAGGGGCTTCCTGTTCAATAGGAGACCTCAAAGGTCACCTGGTGTTCTGAAAGCTTTGTTTGTAGAGACGTATCTCAATGTGAACTTCCTGTCTTCAGATGGTGGGCCTTCCTGGCTTCCTTCAGGGGCAGCTTTGCTCTTCAAGAAGGCCCTTGATCAAGATGGTGTAAAATCTGCCTGCAGCTACTCAAGGTGGTGTTGTGAAACGCTGCCAGAAGCGCTGGGTACCTAGAAAATCTGCCTGCTTTCCTTGTTCCTACCATAGCTCATGAAATATTCATAACTGTCCTCATACGCTTTGAACAGAAAT